TATCCTTTTTGTTGCGGAAACTTTTTCAAAGGATTTTTCAAAAAACATTGCATTACTACATAAAAAATGAGTTCTGATGAAGGAATAGAGAATTACGGGCAGAATTCCGATTTTTTCCTCCTGATTCAGAAAAAATGTACTTTTTCAAGGATGAAACACAATGTAAAAAAACTAAATGGGTACTGTTAATGCTCGTGTTTGAGCAGTTCTAATGATGTACGACACTTGGCTTTATCTCTTCGTACAAAAAACTATTATCTATTTCAAAAAAGAAAGACCATGGCCATGTGTTTAATAACTTTTTCTAGGATGTAGCTACGGAGCTGGGGTTTTCACTAGTCGAAAGAAAAATGTTGGGGCAATAAGAAAAAAAATTATTGTCCCAAAATCGCCTGTAGGTGGTGCACACTGCGAAGATATTTTGCGAAAGATGTTACACTACTGAAAAAGTTTCAGATTTTAACTTTTGAGACGACAAGCAGGTAGCCCGGACTGAGATATTCGTTTCTAGAACAGTCTCAGGTCGTTAGCTTACAAGGTTCGGAAGCTCAAAAGGTTCTCCGGAGACCACGCTAACTCGATCCGGACACGTCGGAAGATCTCGAAAAGACTTGAAACATCGGTTACCGAATGTGCTGATCAGCGTGGCAATATTTCTTTTTGACTAGAAGTTGATCCAAGGTCACCAGGATACTTTTAATGAAAAAACGGATTTTTGCATGAAGCCTGTCAAAGCTAGAGTTGCCGTATATCAGCCATTTTAAGTCAGAAACACATCAAATTTTCGGCCGATATATGAAAAATGACCATAAATCAGATAGCGCTTGTAAAACTGCAAAACTGTGGGTTTTACCAGGCTAAGGTTTTACATGAGGTTTCCAAAAACCTTCTGACGTTTAAACTCGCTGAATCTCATACTTGAGAACTCGTTCAGAATCAATACACTATTCTAAGTGAGAAAATCATTACGGAGGTTTTTCATGGAAAACTGACCAGTGAAAATGTTTTCCAAACAGAGATCCTCAGTATACTGGATGCGCGATATTCAGGGAAGCTCAAAACTCAATGAAACATGGTCACAGTCATCTCCTATATGTACTATATCGATACTGTTGGCGCGAATTGGAGTGGACAATAATCGATCGAGCCAGAGGTTTTTTAAAAATCCTTATTCTTTTAGGGTAAATCCCACTTTTCTCAGCTGAAGAACTTCAGCATCAGAAACGAATTACATATTTGGAATCAGCGTGCAGAACTGCTTCGAATATATAGTTCATCCGTGTCTGCCCCAAATATTTTGATTGCAGTGGATTTGTTAATTTTTGGCATCAGTATTTAGAGATTTTTTCCTGAAATTTTAAAATTTGAAATAATCAAAAGGTGAAAACTTTCGAACACTTTGCTTTATAGGTGTTCAATGATGCTCTTTCCAACAAAATGAGCTGAATTATATGGAGGTTTTCTAAGTGTTTTTCTAGAGGCGAGGGTGTGAAGAAGAATATTATTCCTCCATTGCCCTCTCATCCTTTTCTTCCCTTCTTTCTCGGTTCATCTTATCGCGTATATCTATTGACTTCTCTTATGAATCATCTCTCTCTCTGTATCGTTTCGCCAGTTCAAGCAAATGACTCGCTGTTCAAAACTTGAAAAAGCGTAATTTCATTCTTTCCCCTACAGTCGACATTTATATCTACAGTCTGATTTATTAGGGTGCGATAAACTACGTCCGATTGCATCACGAAACGAAGAAAAAATATTCTTTCAATTTTCTGTTGGGAACCGAATAGTTACCTGGCTACATCACCGTTTAATTTAGGGAGATGCCCGTCTACCTCTTTTCTTTCTCGTAAAATATATTTCTTTTGTAAAGGGTCAATGATCCATGAATTTTGTCTACTGAAATGGGAAAATAATTGATTTTTTGCGTTTTGCATTTTACATTTAAATTTAAAGAGAACGAAAGAACAATAAAGATCAATAGACGTCTAACAAAGATGCAAAATGTAAGAACATGTATTTACAAGTTCTTACATTTTGCATTCTTTCTCGGCTGACCAGAAGAAAAGTCGGAGGTCAATCAAACTACGCCTTTCTCGAAATATTCTTACCCAATTTAGTTTTTCTTTCTAGTGTCAATCTTAGTATGCGCATACCAGCATGGCTTTATGCAGATTTTACAGTTGAACATCTAAGTGGAACACAGGCGATGCTACAAAATGAAGATCTGAAAGTAGTTGAATCGGAACGACGTCTCTGGGGACCATGGAACTACGTAACATTCTGGTTGTCCGATTCTATAAACATTAATACGTGGATGATTATAAGTGCAATGATCGGTGGTACTGGCGGTTTGTCTTGGTGGGAAGCATGGCTGTGTGTTTGGATTGGTTATACAATAACGGCCATATTCATGTGTATTTCCGGCAGAATCGGTGCTATCCATCATATTTCATTCCCAGTTGTCGGACGTGCATCATTCGGTATCTTTGGTAGTCTTTGGCCGACTCTCAATCGTGGTGTAATGGCTTGTGTATGGTATGGAGTACAGGCATGGATCGGAGGACAGTGTGTTGTCATCTGTATTCGTACAATTGTACCTTCATATCAATATCTTCATAATACTCTTCCAACATCGTCAGGTACAAATACACGAGACTTTATTGGATTCTTTATATTTTGGGCACTATCAAATATTGCCATCTGGTTTCCGGTACAAAAGATTCGACATCTATTTACAGTAAAGTCAATTGTTGTACCAATTGCCGGTATACTGTTATTTGTATGGGCAGTTGTCAAAGCCAAAGGTATTGGATCGATCATTCACCAGTCCACGACTTTGCGTCCTACGTCAACAAGTAGTATTCGTGGATGGGCATGGATTATAGGAATAATGAGTTGTATTTCTAGCTTTGCATCGCTGATCATTAACAATCCTGATTATACACGTTTTGCCACTCGACCATCTGCCGTAATCTGGACACAAATGATTACGATTCCGTTAGGTTTTTCCATTACAAGTTTTATCGGTGTTATCGTTGGATCGTCATCGAAAGTCATCTATGGCGAAGAAATTTGGAATCCGATAGAATTGTTAAATGAATTTTTAAACAATAGACCATCGTCTGCAACACGTGCCGGTGTATTCTTTATTTCGCTTGCATTCTGTCTATCACAACTGGGTTTAAACATCGCTGCCAACAGTGTTTCTGCTGGTTGTGATCTTACTGCTCTATGTCCGAAATTTTTAAATTTTAGACGATCGGGTTACATCTGTTCGATAGTTGGCCTATGTATATGTCCGTGGCAATTACTATCGAGTTCTTCAACGTTTCTCTCCTATATTTCGGCTTACTCTACGTTTGTATCGTCAATTGCTGGTGTAATGTTTTGTGATTACTATTTGGTAAGAAGAGAACATTTAAATACTAACGAACTCTATTCGTCTTCTTCAAATGGACTGTACTACTATAAGTACGGTATTAATTGGCGAGCATATGTTGCATATATAGCTGGAATATTAATTAATGTCTTTGGTTTTGCCGGTGCAGTTGGTGCACATGTTTCGTCAACTGTGACAAAAATGTATCAACTGAACTTTTTCTTAGGAATAATTGTTAGCAGTGCTGTATACTATGGTCTTCATCAACTATCACCTATTAAAATTTACTCCTATAAGGAGAACAAACTGTCCAGCGGCAAATTGCAAGTAACAGTTTTTTGAGTGAAGATCGGAAAGAGCTGAGGGTTATTTCATCTTGTTGAGACTTTTGTTCTTTTTTCAAATTCATATTAAGAATCGAAGTTTTGATGAAGAAACATGCAATACACATAAGAGTCAGTTTCTGGAGTTTCATAGTTAAGTCAGCCCGTGATGGATTTCAGACGTGTGTGGTGCCTACCAGACCGAGCCGATAAGCTGCCATATATAGAAAAAATAAAAATGTGTTTCGATCCAAAGTATAATACCTCGTTTGATTCTTAATTGAATACTGATGACAACTACAGAAAAGCATTTTCTAAATATGTTCTAGTCCAACAAAATGTCGATTACTTGCTCGATTTGGGGTCGTATTATTACATTCCAGTTTTCTCCGTTGCTTCACAATTGCCAAAACTCTGATAAGTGATTCAGAATCTCCATCCGTTTCTCTCTAACCCCATATAAATCACCGATAGCCAACAGGCTGGGTACCCAAGAAAAAGTCAAAGCAATGTCCGTGACACGCCTCGATATTCTGGACTCGGCTCGTAAAATATGGTACTCTTTCAGCGCAAAAAAACCTTAAGAGTGAGTTTTTGAGTGATATGACTACGATGGAACAGTTTTCAGATCTGGCTAATATTTATACCAGAGATGGAGGAATGTGCCCTCAGTCTACTGTGACAACTCCATGATACTATAAGAAACGGACAAGGCATCTGTCAACTTGTACACTTTATACAACACTGTATCATACGGTGCTGGTTGAATCTATACTACTTTACATGGTAAAATTCTTAGTGTTGTATTCATATGCTTAACTTTATCAATTTTGAGTTAAGTAAGATCACTTAATGAATATCGTTCTTTACATCGAGCATTGTCGTAGACCTTCTGTCGTTTCCCAATGGACTTTGAAAACAAACTGGAAGAAGTGCTTACTTACCACCGTCAATTTCTAAACCACATTAAGGTTTGAAAAAGTAAGTTGCCAGAGAACCATAGATATTTCATTTTTCAATTTTAAATAGCAGAATCGATAGTCCGTCGGAGCTCCTCTACACATCTACACAAATGAGAGATCTTTAAACCACGAGAATATCTTTTATTGATTTCATGTACAGAAATTGTTCTCAAAACTAATATTGCCACAAGATTCAGCATAGCCGATAAGCCATGTTTTCATCCATTTTTGACAGTCCCAACCTTAATGGAAGAGGCAGAAAAAACGCCCATAGCTTGCGAACCATGGATTTCTAACATAGCGCTTGGATACAATTTTGTAGAGAACACTTCGGACTATATATCTAGTAATATACTAGATATATAGTCTGAAGTACTATAATACTCTAGTTTCCAGAGGGTCTCTGGTGGTTTTGAGAGGATGCTCTTATTAGCTCTTTATTAGTTTGAAGCCTAGCCTCTGGCGAATCCAACCATGTAAAAGTTTTGGTACTAGCTTCTTTAGGAAAACTTGAATTAGGGCAGCAACGTTTAATGCACGCTTTCAACACGTACTGGTTTTAGACACCAGGAAAAATCCATTTTCGGTCCTAGAAGTCTGGAAGCTGCTTTTCTAGATTCAGTTTTCAGCGCTGAATCTGAAACACTTAACCTCAAAACTGGAAAACGAAATCTGGAAAACCTACGGTCACTTTTTTGAAAATGTAGATTTTTAAGGTTTTTTACATGCTCCAAATATTTTGAGGATATCTCAGCGAGGAAACGGTTTTGGAAGATGGGGACGTGATATTCGTGATCCTCATTCAATTCTCTATCAAATGATACATAAACCGGCGAAATCTAAATTCTGCTCGAACTCTGCTTTCCGTCCATCTTACGTATTTATATATCCGTTTTCAAATTAAATAATCAATTTTTTGCCACATTACGTATATTTTTTTCTTTTCAACGAAAGCAAAACGATACACTAGAAATTAACCTGATTTTCTCACAAGTTAGCCATAATTTAAATGGCACTCTTTCTCCAATTTTTAACGAATGTAACGTAGTCCACTTGGACTTTAAGATAGACTATTTTTCTGAAAAGGATACTGCGTAGTTGTTGAGTCACTTGGTGCGCAATATGATTATTTGGCAAAAATAAACGACTTTTTTCTTATCGAAGAGAATATTCACTTAAAGAAATTAAATGTTAATAGTCAAGTTATAAAAGAATTGTGTGCACCTAAGATAGCTTTCCGGCTTTCTCTTCGGGCCATGATAGGCAAGTGTTTGAAATCAACTGCTTGTTAGTAGAGCTAAATTTAAGCTCGATATTTTCCTTTCGTTCTTTCTGTTTTTTTCGTCTCATCGTATTCTATTTTTTCTAACACCATAGTTCAACTTAGGACTTCAAATATCGCGCTTCGTTTTTTTTCTGTCTCGATTTCGTCAATTTTATAACCTTATTTATGGTAGTGTAAAAGATATAAGAACGTTTCCGTTTTAATGAACGAAATGAAAAAGAATAAATTTTCTATTTTAGCATAACTTTAGCTTTCTACCTTTTTTTCTCTCGCTGTGAATTTAACGCATAATCCGTCAACTTGATCAAATAATATCGCTTTAAGTCGAGAGTACTTACCTGTCTTTTACACTCTAACTTCGAGTACACAAGTTACACGTTATGCTCAGCTATTTTCGGAGAGATCGCCTGAATTTGAGGAGATATCGGACCGTCAATATCACTACTTAACTTACCACAAAAGTATTTTTTCTTTATTATAAAAAATGAAGTGGATGCCAATAATGATTTCTGTTACTTGTTCAACGATAATAAACTGCTGTGTGTGAAATGCGTATTCACTTCATGCTAGCAATAGTTTTTATTTAATAATATTTTTTGAAATGTTACGCCATATTTGATGAAGTGTAAAAATGTCTTAGTAGAACGATCTAAAGCATCCAGTGGTATTTGAGATAACTCGAGCAGATAAAATTTTATTGCACGACCCAAGAACGCTGGGAAGAGAAAGCGCATTATTTTGCGGAGAAAATTCTTTTCTGTATTTCAACACTTGTTTGTGTGTTATTTTTGCTTGATAACTTTACATTTTCTGTATTGTTTTTATGAATTTAGGAACGATGCGTACGGATTCATGCGTACGAGGAAACGTGCACGTGGAATCATGCGCATGGGTACCTTACGCACGAGGAGTGCTCTAGACCGGGTTGTTACACACGGACGCTTGCGTACGTAGCACACAATAAGACAGAAAATCAAACTGATGATGTTGTGTAATCACAGCGTTTGTTTTTAATGTAAAGTTTTTAAAGAACCTAATTAATTATTGTGAAAAACGACGATGTTTCATAAACAATATAGTACTATAAAATATAGTTCTGTGTAATATAGCGCTACATGACTATACGATCGGTGACTGTTCCACTCTCTTGCATATAGGTTTCTTGTTTCACTATTCTCATCTAACATTATGGAAATTCATTGACAAATTATGTGATGTGGAAGATTCGGCCATTCATCAAAAATTTTACACGTCAACACTGAAGAATCAATACAAAAAAAGAGGAAATATCAACATTTAGATAAACGTTTATTAAAGGACATTGTACGATAAGAAAAGTTTTGAATTTTTCCAAACGGATTATATGATTCGATAGAGCTCGTCAAGGCGCATCCGAGGATATACTTGGTTTTGTTTAGAAATAATTCCCTCACTGAAAAAGTTTTTTTTCAGAAACAGCAAAAGTTGATATCCATCAAGAAAAAGTGTTTTCCCGAAAGAAAATAAGTGTTTCTAATGCTCATTTACATATCGTTAGATGCGCCAATAAATTCTCTATCGAATACATTACTAATCCTATCTAACGCTTCATTTTGAAAAAGAAATTTGTAATGTTACTTCAGGTAACAAATAGTCTCAAAAAAATTAATTTTCACCTATAACAACACCGTGATACAATAAGATATTTTATGAAAAACTGCCCGAAGACTAGATGAACAAAACTATTGAAAAGCAATCTCAAAATATTTGGGCCTACGACAGCAGTGTTCAAACAGTATGACAACGAAGTTTTTGATCAACCTTAAATTTCGGTATTTTTCACGCTTTTTGGTCACTCGTGTTTGACATCTGAGACCATATATGTGATTGCCAGATCGAAATCTGTTAGAAAATATGCTTAGTAATCATATCGGATCCATAAGTCCTGGTATGGTGATAGCTGACCTCAAAAGGGTCAAATTTTCTTGTTATCGGTGATTTTTATTTTAACGATGGTTCCAAAACACTTTTCAAGTATATCATTCTATAGAGAATTTGACGAGCTACCAAATGATATATAAGATAGCTTTAAGAAAATGTAACTGGGTACTCTCAGATTCCAAATACTCGGTAGCATCTCAGCAAATCGGCAAGTCAAAGACGTTCATATTTATAATATCCATTGATTTTGTCGTTAACCATCCTATTTTATATATCATTCGACAGAGAAGTTCAATGGTTTTTCATCGGATTTGTTTGATAGTTTCCACGTCCTTTGCAATCGTTCGTAAATCGACTGCAGTTGCGTGAAAAAGCATTGTAGAGCGCCGAGAGATGTACTGTTTTTCTCAGAATTTTATGTTCTATCGGGCTATATAGTCTGGAAAATTTTCTGGCTAAAAACCAAGGACTTGGTTTTCTGGCGGTCAGGTTCCCCAGAAACCCCATAATCAATTCCTCTTATGAAACAGCACTACGCACCTCATGTAATAGAAAAATCTTCGGGCTATTCAATATAGTATTCAAATTGATTGCAATCTTTACTGAAAGATCAAAAGCAGAGGAGTTCTTGTGATTATGGCAGATATGATTATGTACTGCATATAGCTTATAACACTCGAACGCTTCTTTTTCATATCTTTACTCATTGGTTCGAACTGTCTGGATATTCTGACCAGTTCAGTTTGTGGAGAATTTCAAGGGCTATCGAATGGTATATTTTTGAAAAAGATATAATGTTTCATCATGGCAGAAAAAGGACTATGGAATGATATACTTGAAAAGTGTTTTGGA